ATGTGTTTGGTTGGTTTAGGTAATGGAATTAGATCAAGGATATATATGCGTTTGAGGAAGGAGATCAAATTGTCTAAACAGAAAGTGTAGGATTCTGTAAGGATATCTGAGATATGACGAAGGTCAGGTCTGTGGGAACGGAAACCGCGAATATTCCAATGTAGGGATTTAATAGATCTTAATAGTTGACCTAAAAGTAATGACAGTTACAGTGCGTTTTGGAGAATTTCAAGGGGAAGGAACAAGGATTGAGATAAGGAATTAGAGGGAGGGGGGATAGTATCAGGAGAGGTATCAGTAAGCTGGAGGATCTGGGGAAGGGCATAGTTGTGACAAAGGATTCACGTATGTATGCAGGAGGGAGTGGGAAGGATAAAAGGGATAAGGGGGGTAAATGTAAGTGTTGTTGGAGCTGAGAGGGAAGGGTTTGTGTTGGGAGGGTGTAGGGGGAATAGGAGGATGGATATTGGGTCACTAAGTGGAAGGGAGCGGGAGTTATAGAATTGGATGGTGGGTGAGGGGTTTCAGTGTCATTTTGGGTTTCAAGCAGATAGTTTTGCATATCTTCAAGAGTTTCTGCAATGGAGTTGGTTGGGAGAATTGAGACAAAGGTTTTTGAGGAAAGGAAGGAGACGACTGGAGGCGAGTGTGTAATAGAAGGGTGGAACGTTTATCCTGTCTGCTGCAGGTAGTCGGGAGAGGGGAAGGTGTTTGGGCTATAGTTGAGACTGGAGTGTCTGGATTTTGAGTGGCAAAAGAATTTGAAGTTGAAGTGCAGAAGTAGGTAAAGGGGAGGGTGTAACATCTTGGGTGGAGGGGGGGGGGCCCAGAGCGAGCAACGTTAATGGAGCAGGGAGCAGAGAAACCTTGTCGCTGTACTTCCTGTCTGGCTTCACATAGAGCGAGACCATTTATGTATGAGAGTTGCCACCCAAGATTCAAACTTGTAGGTAGGGAGAGCCTCTTATAAGATACATTACAGGGGAACACCGCAGTTAGCATGTGCATGATTGTGCAGAGCAGTTTGGATATGACCTGGTTGGGCACAGAAGGGGAATCGGTCTGGAAGGATATTTTGGCAGAAAATCCAAAATGCCAACAGGTTTTACACTGACGGAGGAGGTTGGTATGGTCGAACAGGAAGGGATTGTCTACCAATGTTGGTATGAAAGGGAAGGTCATGTCTACTGAAAGTACTTTTGAAGATAATGTTGGGGTTCTTTCAGTGACCTTTTGGAGGAATGAAGTAACTGATATCACATCGCGGTATCCGAGGCAGACTAGCAAGTACTCCTCACAATCTGACCTATCTCTGGTATCTATAGGGCAGTTTCCTGGTGATGGAGGCAGTTCTGGTACAAGTATCGAGTTGAATGAGGTTCTGCAGGAATGGGGTTGCCAGAGAAATCATTTAATAATGCTATAGTTTTTTTTTTTCAGATAAAACTAACGAGACGGGAAGATCGTGTCCAGATAGGGAAAGTATTAGAAATAACATCATACTCATGGGTTGAGTATAATTTCAGCTCAAATTTCTTCAAGGCATATCGTTTCTTCCATTCAGTGACCTCCCCACCCCAAACAATGGAGTGGTTCCGAAATGAAGTCGAGGCCATATGCAAGCCATTTGGGGCAATTGGGCATGTCCCCTTGCAAGGCAGTTTGGAAACACTGATTAAATAAATTGTTGTATGTAATAAAGTTCTTGGTGTACTTTGTTGTAAACTTATTGTGGAAGGCATTTATGTTTAAGTTTAAGCCGTTAACCAACATGGGTTATAAAAAAGTCGACAAAAAGTAATTAGAATTTATTTGAGACACATCGAAGTAGAGGCCCTACTCCACTTGGTAGTTACAACAGGGTTGCCCTCACTGTAGTAACCTTACTCTTAAGTACCTGAGGAAAGAAATAGGATAGGTCAATAAAGAGTAGCAAGTAGCATGTGCCAATCCTCCCCTGTATCCCATATTTTACATCAAGGCTTTATTATTAAAAAATACTAACCTGGACAGAAGCCGTCAGGAATGTCGCAGCCAAAGAAGGCACCCTTGGAAGCATTTTTGTCATGGTCCTCCACACACTGGCCAACACCTACAGAGATCTCATCCCACCTGTAGCCTTCAGGGCAGCTGTAACGGAGCTGCCGTAACTTGCCACCAACATGTAGCATTCAAAGTAGTTCTGCTGGTTCAGGAGGTCAGGATATCGGCCCTCCTGCTTGCACACGAACTGGTACAGGCAAGGGTCTTCACATGCTCCCTTTTCCTTGTTGTACATCAAGCCACTGTTGCACTGGAAGCTCTTCTGCAGCCAGCCATTCTGAAGGCCAATGCACGAATAGTATACACTGCAGTTAGCCGGGTTGGCAAAAGTACCAGCTCTAGTACATTGGGGCAGGCCATTTCCTGTCTGGCACTGGGCAGTGGCTTCGTCGAATACCATGCCATCTGGGCATTTGTAGTTCTCTGGGGGGTTACAAGGTTCTTGAGGGTCATAGAGGTCCACTCGGAAGGAGTTGGCCTTCTCGCATTTGCAGGCCTGAGGCTCATCTGGGTAGCAGACTCCCCCGCCAAACTCGGGCTTCTTTGAACAGTAGTGGTTCTCGATGCAGTGGCGAGTGAAGGCTTGTCCCTTCACACACTGGACCATGGTCTTGCAGTCTACGCATATGAATTTGTCAGGCTGAGCTTCACACATCTTCGAGTAATCATGGAAATCTGTAGTAACACGGCGTTTAGCTCGCAAGTCCCTGAGAAAAGAATCAATCAGTTTTATTCAACATAAAGTAGGCTTCTTGCTTAATTGGTAATATTGTCAACTTTAAGGCTTACTAACCTGGCTGCAGCAAGGGCTACTCCCAGGACCAGCTGAAATAACAAATTTTCAAAATAATTCTCATTACACAAGCACATGCTGTTTATACTAGGTTAATACATGTACCTGTATTCATTGTCTACTTTATAGACAAGACAAACCTATATCCTTTAAGGTTAAGTTCAACTGTAAACTTATTACAGTTGAAAAAGTTATGAAAATCACTAAAGTTAAAGAAACTGCCAGGGCAGTTCTTTAAAGTTTTAAAATTATTTTTTTTAATTACCCGAGCCGTAAATGCCATACAATATGGCCATTAATTACTAGCTAATATAACTTATAACAATTTTCCTTAAGGAATAACATACCGATGCACGTGTACATTAAATTTCCTATTCACAATCAAGCACTATTCACTCGAATTCACTTGTAAATCAAATTAAATTAACCCCTACAACATATCACACTAAACTTGACAAAAAGAGGCAAAAAGAATTGGCACCACCAAAACAAAGAACGTATTCGACCTCATCTTCGATTGGTGTCTAACTACTAACGGTTTCTCGGGCTATTTATAGCTTTTTTAAACAAAGGATCTCTCCGATTTCTGCGAGACGCGCATCTAGGAACAGTGAGCTTTTTAAAGAAAACGGATACTTTTTAGCGTTGGTATTATTTTAATTTTATTTTATGTATCCAAATACATAAATGCAAATATTTATGTATACATGTATATGTATGTATATATGTATATATGTATAGATAGATATATGTGTGTGTATGTGTATGATTATGTATGATTATGTGTACACACACACACACACACACACACACACACACACCACACACACCACACAACACACACACACACACACACACACATACATATATATATATATATATATATATATAAATATATATTATATATATTATATATATATAATATATAAATATGTGGCAAATTCAACCACAGCCAGTCACCCTGCAGATTCGACCACAAAATCAAATGTACATCTTGCCACATGGTATGGCCAAAAAGTCAACTATGCACAATTATTGCCACAAATAGGATTATGACCAAGAGTTAGTGTCGATGATAAAAAGAGAAAGGGCCCTTGCTAACATAGCTCATATAAATGCTCAATACGTCCTTTGCCATAAAGATCAATAGAAATGTTAATCAAGGAAAAGGACATTGATAACTCAAGCACAAGTGAAACGTGGCTCCTCCCTGGTATTAGCGACTCCCTTCGTCCATATATCATTTTTCACTATTCATCGCCAGGACCTTGGGAGCAGAGAAGGAGTGTGTGTTAATATAAGGATGATTTTAAGGCAACGGTAATCAATCCAGTAAATCAATTAAGTAGATAGAGCTGAGGTATTTGGATTCCTTTACAGTGTAGAAAGTTTCAATCCATTATCACTGTATTCAGATTGTTTTTGAAAATATTTGCCTCCGTGACAAAACATTTATAAGAGTAGGGGATTTCAATGATAATCGATTAGAACCTAATAACAAAATGAGCAGACTATAGAAAATAGGAATTTAATCCAGATGATTAGCAAAGCAACTAGGATAAATAACCTCGAACTGCTACACTTTTAGATCTAATGATAACAATAAACTGAATTATCTCCAATATTGAGATAATGCCAAGCTCGATAGCAGATCATGAAGTGATATTTGCCACTCTTGAATTAACTAAACCGAAACGGCAATCTATTCACCCAACATCTCGGTGTCTAAAAAATATATAATCAAAATGATTTTGTGATCTTTTATTAGAGCAGATATTTTACGTATCGATAATGTCAATTTGCAAGTCGATCTTATATAACGTTTTTTTCTGAATTGTATGGGTGAGTGTGCCCCTGTCGTGACGGGATAAACGACCAGACCACCAGAGAGAAGAGGAGAGAGAGAGAGAGAGAGAGAGAGAAGAGAGAGAGAGAGAGAGAGAGAAGAGAGAGAGAGAGAGAGAGAGAGAGAGAGAGAGAGAGAAGAGGAGAGAGGGAGAGATGAGAGAGATAGAGAGAGGAGAGAGAGAGAGAGGAGAGAGAGAGAAGAGAGAGAGAGAGAGAGAGAGAAGAGGAGAAGAGAGAGAGAGAAGAGGAAGAGAGAGAGAGAGAGAGGAGAAGAGGAGAGAGAGAGATAACTAGTGACATAAAAGATGCTATTGACTCTAGACACAAGAATAGGAGAAGAATTCAGGCTGGTTACTCTGATATGATCTTACGTGAACATTACAAACAGAAAAGAAAGGAGTCAAATACTTGTGTGTGGGAGTGTGTGTGTGTGCGTGTAGGAGTGTGCGTGTGTGTGTAGTGTGTGTGTGTGTATGTGTGTGTATGTGTGTGTGTGTGTGACTTATAGATACAAGCAAAAACAATATCATAATAAGAATTACATGATAGTAGAAATAATATGAATGATGCTACGTGGAAAAGCCACAAAAATGATTCCAGGCAATAAGTGTAACTCATTAAGATTTCTGTAAGATTTCAGACAAAATATATGATGATGTAGATAATAAGTTGTCTTTCCTCATTCTTTTAGACTTATCGAAGGTTTTCGATAGTGTAAACCATAAAATGCTTATAGAAAATGTCAAGCATAGAACATAAATCCTTCTTTGGTTCCATGGTTATTTAAGTAATAATGCAGTCTGTGAGAATTGGAATGTGCTTTCTACCCAGAGGAATGTCTTACGGTTTCCCAGGGTTATGTGTTGGGTCAATTCTTTTTTCTATACATGTTAATAACCTGTCAGAACACATGCCAGATTGCTTCGTCGTCCAGTACACTGACGATACCAAATACTGCTGACTGGAGATACTAACAATAATGCAGAATTGATTGAGAAAGCAGAAAGTTCCCAATCATCTGTTAAGATGTATTTACAGAGGAATGGTTTACTTTTGAATGAAACCAAAAACAATGTACATTTATTGGCTCTCGATTTCTGATCTCCACTCTCAGATGATATTTTTTATATTTTAACAGTAACCATATATTACCTAAGACAGTGGTAAAAATATATTTTGACCAATTCTGTAATTTAACTCTAGAATGTTATAGCATTCTCCTTTACCTAAATAGAACAGGAGACAGGTTTGATACCTCAAGAAGGATAATGATTGTATATTCTTTAGTACCGAGTCTTATAAACTATTGATCAAGGATAAAAATTTGGGGAGTAACAACAAAATGAACAGGCTGAAAGGTTGCAAAACCGCTGTTGAAGTTGCTTTTGGAGGCTTACGTAAATATGACCATGTAATCCTGCTTTAAATAAATAAGAATGGTTAAATATTGATAAACACACATGGCATATGTATTTTAATATTCAAAAGCTTGCATGAGTACTTTCGAGTGGTTGCTCAATCTTCATACGTGAATGACAAGGTCTTCGCCGTTATTGTGCCTGTTATGTATACCAACAAACAGTATTGGACTCGAAGGAAAACGGTGAAAGTAGCACTTTACTGATATTTCATAATCCAAGCAAGTCTGACAGCTTCTCAATCTTAGCATTCCGTTATAGATATGGCCTTTATTTGGGGGAATGGAAACTGTTGTATGTACTACGGGTGGGCTGCGGAAGATCTTGCCTACTTGTTTTTGAAGGCATTTTGGAGAAAAGTAGGGGGTTTGTAGAGCACTGGGCTGTAGGAATTAAAATTGTCCTTCGCTGGGCCAAATAGTATTGAAAAGGGTTTTAGGTAGGAATTTTAGGACGAGGCCAGTTTGGAAAGATGGAGTGATGTGTTGAAGGCAATAAGGTGAAGTTGTAACGGAGGGGGATGTAGAAAGTGGTGCGAGTAGATTGTCAAGAACATTGGGGTTGAGGGGGTGTTATTTGGACGCCGAGTTATCTGGTAAATTCAGGATGGTTTAAGCTCAGATGTCGAGGGGGGGGGGGGGTAGAATCGGTAGTCCGAGCCGTGGTCAAAGGCGAGCCAGGAATCGGTTTTAGGGAGGTTATATTTTAGGGGCATGCCTCAATACCCTTATACATCTTTTTTTTACTGGCCATGGAAAGCCCGAAATAAGGGGAATGATAAACAGTCCACCCTCAGGATCTCATGAGGGTTAAGTGCTTAGAGACCTACAACAGGAATACAGTGACCGTGGCCAGATTCGTGATTAAAAGGCTCATTTCAGGAATTTAACAGGAAGGGGGTAGGGAAAGAATAGGGTGAGGGAAAAGTCCATGTAAATTAGTTTTTTTATTTTTGTGGGGGGGGGGGAAGGGGGGCGAGGCCCAAGGTAGATGGATTCCTTTATATTGCTCCTCCCCCCCCCCACGAGAAGAGGCAAGGAAGTGGGGACAGGATTTTTTTTTGTTTTTAAATTAAACTAATCCTGGTTATTGGTAACTTATGTTGGAAGCCACACATTAAGCTTGATCATTTTGATTCGGATCCCTGCTCAAATATATTACAGGAATAATATTAAAATTTTCTAGGAGACATACAAGACGGATAATACAATCCAAGTTTGAACAAGATTCTATGTCTTTTTTTTTAGCAATTTATATTAGTTGTTAATAATGGGATATGAACAAGTAGACAAAAAGTAATTAAAATTTATTAAGAGACATCGAAGTAGAGACTTGGCCCTTTTCCACTGGTTAGTTGGACAGGATCGCCTTCACTGTAGTAAGGTGCTCATGTGCCTGAAAAGTGGGAGAGAGAACTATGTAGCCAACCCAGCATCTCCTTCCACAACCAATTAAACCTTGTTAACTCCATTAGGCCAGGTTATAGTCTTATTGTACTATATAGTAGGCTACAAACCTGGACAAAAGTCGTCA